GTACCCACCCTGCAACCTAACAAAACCAACCAGCAGACGAGGATTCATCTGCCCCACAGACAGCCCCACTGCACACACTCCAAGCTAAATGAGGCCTCTATTGCACACAATTAACAAATACATCTATAGGGAGAATCTGTTGTGGGACTGAAAGCCAGAACTGTCTCTTCCCTAGGCCAGCTCTGCGTCAATAGTGAAAGGAATGGCTCCAGTCCCACCAAGCCTGTGCCAGCAGAGACTCTGTTATATTTAAATCAGCATTTGCCACAGCAGGGGATTGTCAGATGCTCTGCTTAAATGCAGGATTTTCTCTTTTATTTTGATGTTTAACTCATAAAAACCTGAATTTATTGGGGTTGGGTGCTGGTGCCTGCAAGCACAGCTGCTCACCAGCTCTGATTTGCTTGCCGTGTGAATGCATGAGGAGAGAATTTAACAGCTCTTCCCAGTCTGCCTGGTGTCAGGATTCAGGTTTTACTCTGTTACTGCTGTGGCAATGCACCCAAAACGCCCCAAGCCCTCCACAAGCTCCCAAAACAGAGATGTGCAGAATTTCCTCGTGTTCCCTGTTTCACAGAGGCAAGCTCTGGAGGTGGGAGACCTGCCAATGAGGCTGCAGAGGGAGCAGAGGGTGGGCTGCAGGGGGAGGGCAGCTGCCCTGGGCCCACAGGAGCAGGAGGGGCAGCACGGGCAGCAGAGCCACGGTGCTCCAGGGGATGGGCAGAGGCAGGAGCCTGTCCTGCCCATCCTGAACTCAAAATGGTCTCATCAGCTGCTAAGCTGGTTAAACCATCTGAAAGGGTACAACAGAAAATAGCCAGCTGCTCTCTTTGGTGACTGCTCTTGCCACGTGTGGTTTTAGATCAGTAAAGCCAGGCACACTCAGCAGGATTTCATGCACAATGGACTTGGGCTCCACGAAGAGTGCAATCAAATCCTTGGAAAGACAATGCAGATTTAGAGAGATGCTCCTTTATATGTCTTTCACTTAAGACCTGGCTGACACAAGCAACTGAAATTTGCTGCTAAATGAATCAAGATGGTAGAGTGCATTTCAAAGCAGCATTACAGCCAGTGCTTGCCTCAGCAGGACTTGGAGCTCCTGATTCATGCCTGTAGAACACTGAAGCTGAATTAGAATGCTGCCATTCTTTACTTGGGACCCTCCTTGATTGCTTTCACTAAGGTGCCATTTACTAAAACTGAACTGTATGTGCAGGCAGAGCATTGACACTGTCATGTGAGCTTCCATTATCTGTACATTAATAGACACAAGCCAAGGTTTAAGCCATATACACTTTAGATACATTTAAACTATGGATCCAGACCTTTAATCCACATTCCTCTAACTCTTTTTATACATATTGTGTGTGGAAATTAACACATCTAAACAAACTTAATCTGGGTGTTTTCGTTGCTGCTGGTGATGAGATACAGAAGCCTTGTACATTCTGAACAGATGGCAGAAACAGAAATGTCTCCCAACAAACCCAAACTTAATCTAGAGGAATTCTTTCCAGAGAACCTCTCTGTGAAGTTTGGTTTTGATCGCTGTTTGATCTCTGTGTCACCCCTGCTGTCCCAAAATAAATAAGTATTAGTACTGAGAGGCACCACTGGCAAAATGCTGTGATGACACTCAGGAGTTCTCAGATGTGGACCATTTATGTTGCCACTTGGTTAAACACTTTTTCCTGCACAAAAACACCATAAGAAGTTGGCACATAATGGCATAAATACTCCTGGGAGATGCTGACATATTTAGCAACAAATCCCTCTCCCCAGCAAGAACTGCTGAGATTCACTCAGTTTTAAACAAGGAAGCATTAGCACCAGCTAAAATCACTTAGGTGAAAATATTTCAGGAGTGACTAGAAGGGAAGAGTGGGAAAGAAAGGCTCTCCTGCCTAGTGATCCTGAGGAAACGGTGATGTCAGCCAGCACTAAAAAATATCCCTGCTTTCCACTTCTTATAGGACTAATGACAGGATTTTTCAGATTAAGCTATGGTGTAGATCAAGAACATTTACTTTCAATGCTTCTATCCTTAGACTTAAACCTCAGCACCTCTAAGCTGCCGAAAAACAGTTCCAGAGATTAAGATTTATATTCTTGATAATGGGGCAGGCTCACATAAATAATTGAGCTGAATTAAACTTCGTTCCAGTTGCAAAGTGTCTGCCTCTCACTGAGCCACATTGCATGATTAGAGGTTTGACTGCACCAGTCCTTCAGAGCCACTGTCAGAAATGAATCACTAGATTAACCCCTGGCTACGGCGAGCGCAGCAAACGTGTGCTCGGTGGGAAAATAATGTTCCTGAACTTCTGCATTTGACAGAATAATCAAAATCCTCCCAAGGGATTCAGAGCAACGTTGGCATGGTAACATGAAAGGGGCTGGAGTCTCCTACCCAGGTTGTTTTCCCTGTGCATTTCCAGGGCCATGCAGAATACGGATTAAACAAACAAACACACACCAACAACGTCACAATTAGCATCTATTTTGCATCTAATGAAACAGAAGATGAGCTTCTTTGTCTGTAGTTATTTCAAGGCTTATGTTTTCATCTAGGGCTTCATCCAAACTCTAATGAAATAAATTATTGAATCAGAACCATAGATTTGTTGCCAGAACTGGGTTTAGAAACCTTCTACGCCTCCCAGTAGCCACATAAGAGTTACTGAGCAAGGCTTAAGGGCTAGCTCAGCCACTCCTCAGCCACACCTTTAACAGGGCTGGGCATCTCTGGCATGGAAATACCAAAGGAGTTTATCACCCCAAGCTTGCTGCCACAGAGCAGAGCCATTGCTTACCTGAATCTGGTACCCAGTTTCTAAAGACACTGAATTATTTCCAGTAGACTGTTTACCTTGATGAGCATAGAATTAACTTTGTGTCCTGAGCCTTTATGTGAAACTTTATTGCCCAAAGCAAATATGACCTGTTATGATTTACAGGCTCTGTTAGCAGCAGTAACAATGCTACAATCCACATCAGTAAATCAGGGTTTATTGAGAACTCTACAATTTTTATCTGTAGGAAAGCAATTAAAATGTCAGTTTTTCATTTGATGTAATTTCTAACTTTCATAAAAGACAGATACCCTGTTTAATTGTGGAGTATAAAACAGCATAGTTCAAATAATTCTAAACTTCTCAGTAAAATTCCAACAGTGTCAACTGAGAATCACCATTTTTTTACAAATGGCTGAATTAGCCATAAAAAAAGGTAGCATAGAAAATTTATTGCAATCTAAGGGGGGTACTGGGATCCTTATCACATTAAAGAACATTCCTTCAGTGAAGGCAGAGTGTAATGCAAGACACAAGAATTACCTGAGCCTGCACACTGTTAAGACAGTGCATTAGGACCCTGAACAGAGAAAAAATGGTGGTGGGTGGGAGAGGAAGGGGAGGAAGGGGAAGACAACCAGAATTTGAAGGCACTGGGCAAAGCAGAGCCCCTCCATGGAATTTGGGCTGCCAGCCCCCCAGGCTGACACACAGCACCAGCACTGCAGGTCCCTCAGGTCTCCACAGCTAAGAAAGGTGTTCTGCAGGCAGGTAGGTGGCCACATCATGCTTCATTTCACCCTGCAGCTGCTTGTTTCCAGTGTAACTCTGCACTTGATTTGAGGCATTTTTTAAATAAACATTCACTTGTTTTATTATTAAGTCTGTCTAGTGTTGTGGAACGATGGGAGCCGGCGTGAAAGGAATAAGCAAAGTGGAACTTGTTACCACAGAGATAGCAAATTTATCTGAGCCAGGACAAACAGGCAGCCTGGGAGGTATTCCACTTAGGGAACCTGGTTTAGCAGCACACACCAACGGAGAGAAAAGGTCACTGAGGTTGCTGCAGGTGGCTTTGGGGAGTCTCTGTGGGCAGCAGCTACCATCCCTTCTGCAGAGAGGACGGGCAGGGAATCCTCCCAGAGCGAGGGTGGGCAGGAAATTACACCTCTGCAAGTTTGTTTTGTCTACAAAATAGATGTGTTTACCAGAAAAACACATTTCAATAGTTTTGGCAATTCTCTGTGATACAGTATCCACTTTTCTAGTAAAACTAAACATAAGTAAAAATAATACACAGCTGAGAATGTAGTGGCAGAAATCTGAACGACAGCAATGGACATTAGATGGCTAGGTACAAATTCATCTACTCTCCATACTTATTTCTAACTCATTTTCCTTTTGGTCTTTAACACTTCTAGCAGATTTTCAGTGTCTTTTGCACCCCAGTTTGCTGCATTTCTCCTCTCTCTAATTTCAATGGCATCTGCTCCACAGGCTTCTCAGTAACTGTGGAGACTGTGGCTCACCCAGGTCCACAACAGATTAAAGTCCTGATCTCAGTCTTGCCACGGCAGCACTGGCTCAAGACTACCACCACCAGTCTGCCTGGTGACAGGTCAGAACAGTGGGATGCCATGTGAGCTTCCACCAACAGGGAACATTCTTTCTAATTTAATGCCTCCCTAGCAGATTTTTAAACAAAACCTACTTAGAACAATTTCCTCCAAGAATAGTCTGGCTATTATAATTTTAAGCCATCCCCATTATTTTCCTGTTAAGATTCAACTCTCTTGACAAAAAGCATGCTAAAAGCTAAGCAAAAAACCCACAAAATTATTATTTGCAGCAGATTTTCTCTCTCCAGCAACAATTTATCATAATATTTTTATGGTTTCTTTTCTTTGCTTCATGTTTCAATGAGAAAAGTAATTCCTGAGAAAATACGTTAAAATCTGCTTTCAGTTTGTAAGCATAAAGCTTGAAAATTGTATCAAAACTAGGGTTTTTCCAGCAAACATTCCTGAATTCTGATAAAAAGCCACAATTTTTAAAAACTTATATAATCAAACAGTACATATTTAAAGCGGTCTGTGTGAGAAAAACACAGTAACCAACACTGGCCCCTGAAAAGCACATGGTAGCTGAGCCCTTTTTTACTTCTCCCCTCCCCAGCCACAGCAGTGGCACTGCACAGAGCCTCACCTCAGCTGCAGGGACTCCCTCGGGTGGCCGACAGTGCAGCACGATCATCCCCTCGATAGGAACCTCCTTCCCTTGTGGGTCTTGCTCAAAGTTCTTCCGTAAATCTGCAGAGTTGAACACAAGCATTCGTTAGAGCAGCAAAGGCCATCCCACCCCAGCAACGCCACGCAGGCTGCAGGAGTGAGCAACAGCCCCACTTGGCCACGTCCTGAACTGTGTGCACCAAGCACTGGAGAGCTGGGGGTGCCACCTCTTCCCTGGGCACGGGGCAGAGAGGTCCTGTCACCTCTAGCTGTGGTTCCACTTCCCCACCATTTGTGGACAATCTGTGTGAGACCACAGCGACAATCGACGTCAGAACCCACGGGCTCCGTGCTCCCCGTTGTGCTCTCACTCTCAAGCCATTGCCTTTCCAAAGCAGGAGAATTAGATGCAATAACAGCAACAACGTGGTATTGTTGGGGTGCTGTTGGAACCAACTGAATGAATCCTAGGCTTGGTGAATCATTTTCCTAGTATGTGCTACTTCAGACAAGTACCAGGGTGGTTTATAAAGTGTTCTGAGCTAGATGTTTTGTTTAGCTCACCTGCAAGCTGCAGGGAAAGGAAAGAAGGGAAGTAAAGGATTCCACACACTGCCAACTGGCTGACAAGACTGCTTCATTCCAGACACCAAGGCCCAGTGAACACTTCAGGACAAGAAACAGGGCACATTGTCCCTGGCACCCTAATGTGGGTGCAGCACTTCCATGGACTGAGTAAACCCCACGTCTGGGGTAAACTTCCACGTCTGGGTAAACCAGAACAGGCACAAAGAAACCCAATACCCAGATGCATTGCCCTAACCCAGATATGCCCATGAATATGTAAAGTTTTGCTGGCTGTGAAAGGAAAACAAAGTGGAAGGAGCGTTTCTTGCTACATGTGCTTTGAGAGTTAGGATGTTTCCATTAGACACACTCATTTTCTTCTAACAGTGCCTCAGATTCCACAGTGTGGATTTACTGATTTAATTTTCTCCATTGCTTACACTTCATGAAATACACCCCCTTAAACAGCAGAGACTCTGAATCAGTTACACTTTAAGATATTTTATAAAATACTTTAAGACTTATTTTAGCAAGCTAGTCACTAGAGAAGGATGCACTCAGTGCATGTATTCTCCTTTTTATGATTCTTTGCTAATGTTAATTTTTTTCCCCACAGATAACCAATATCTTTTCCAGTACTCTATTTAAAAAGCCATTTGTTAACAGTTAGGCTGCAGTTGTACCTAAAAATGCCTTTATTAGGATGAAAAATGGAGTAAGATCCCTCTTCTCATTTTCTCTGCATTCCACACTATCATAAAGAAATACTTACCTGCTTTCCCAGAGAAATATAAAGTGCTGCAGTGCTTTGGGCTTGACTTACAATTCAGAACCTCTAGGCTTTAAGTGCAAATAAAAAGAAAAAAGCAAAGAAAGAAAAAAAGTAAAAAAGACACTAGCACCCTAGGCATCAGGAGGAGAGGTGCTGTGGAAGGACACGGGTTGTGTGCTCTCCAAGTTGGACCTGCTTGTCTCCAGTCCTCCAGAGGTGGTGCCTGGATTTCTGACAGGGGAGCATTCAGCAGGCAGGCTGCTCAGCACAGGCAGAACGAGGCAGGTCCATGGGAGGGTGAGCCCTGGACACTCCTGGGGGGTGGTTTACAGGCTGCTGTTGGCAGCTATTCATTTTTTCTGTCTGGAGCACTAACAAGTTCCATCATCTTTGCACTCAAAAATTGCTCAACTTTTCACAAAAAAAGCACGGCTTCAGGTGAAAGCAGCAGAGGAAATGCCCAGTGCAGGAGCAGTTCCCAGGTGGAGCCCTGTGCCAGGCCCAGCCCACCCTGCAGGGCAGAGCCAGGAGCACTCTCGGGAGGGTTACCAGGATCCCTGCAGTCAGGGCTGGCACCTGGGGAGCTGCCCTGGGGAAGAACTGGTACCACAGCAAGGGGCTTAAAAGCCCCAGCACACAGCCCCACCTGCTTGCTCATTCTGATTTTTACTCCTATTGCCATATTATGGGGTTAGGAAATCACAGTGCAGAGAAAAGTCAATAAAAATTCAATTCAGGGTAAGTCTTTTGCAGCTTAGCCATACAGGGAATTATTAGCTCATTCAGTGTTCTGACAGTTAATGCAGTAAAATAAAAAACTGAATTTACACATATTTACACGGTCAAACTAAATCAGCCAACAAAAAAAATCTGTCATTTATGAAATCAAGGAATTATTACATTGTCCTATTACTTCTCTCTAATGCATTTTTAAGTTACCCTGTTAAAAAAGCATAATCAAAGATTTATCAAAAATTGCTAGAACGCTACCTGATAAAGTTTCATTCAGAGTTCCTTGCTTGAATCTCCCTCCCTCCATTTTTTTAGACCTCTGTGATCAACATGGAGCAAAGAGGCACTTTGGGGGGTGTGTGTGTCACTTTAACCTCTTTAGTTCCATGGCACTGTTGTGACACTGCACATACAAAATCCAGGATCCCTGAACAGACTTGCTGAGTGTAAATGCACATCAATCAACCCACAATAAAACAAAAGGGAGCTCTGAAAAAGCCAAGGCACGCTGGCTGTGGGATGTGATAGGGAGGGCTTGCACAGACAGCAGCTCCTCACCAGTGCCCCTTTACACTGAACCCTCACAGGACAGGATGTGCCACACCCCACCCCAGAGCAGCAGAACGCTCGCGCTACTCACAGGCTATGCGGACAGACGCCTTCCTGCTCTTGGAGGTCCCCAGATGGCTCCATGCAACACACTGACACCAGTAATCTTCTGGCCCATGAAAATCTTCCACCTGCTGCCTGGTCACATTGATGAACACCTCTCGAACCTTCAGTCCTGAAGGGGAAAGATATGGAAAACCAGTTGACAGAGGGTGTCTTACTTAGGCACAGAGCTAGGGTTAGCCAAACCTTTTCTTTTAATTAAGCAATTCCATTTTTAATCAAGGCAAGGATTTAATTGCTTTGACAATCATATATTGTCACTAATTAAATTCTAAAAGCTTAGTAGGTCATAATGCATTGAGTTACAAGAACTAACTACTCACTGCAGTCTTTGCAAGAATATAACACCTCCCTCAGAAACTTTGTCTCTTGTGCCTTTTTCACCCAGAATGTTTATCTGGAGTCTTATAATGTAATATGCAATAAAATTGTCTTCTGATCTCACGTCTCAGTGCCCTTGAAAACCTTTCTGAAGTACCCTAGTAGCCCCTCAAGCAAGACAAACAGCCAGAACTATGGATGTATGACAGGAGCTGATCAGATGCCCCAGTGAATTCCAGCTGGTTCCAGCCAGCAGCTGTTTCCTCCTACAGGAGAGAAAAAACCGTGTCTCAGTGTGGCACAGAGAGAGCTACACTGGAGCCATCACAGCCTGGAAGAGAAAGAGGGGAATAAATGCCATGGCTCACAAATGGAGACAGTCCTCTCCACTCTGTCCTTCTGGGACCAAGAGCTGGAGTACTGCCTTTCTTAACCTTCACAAACATAAGTATTTATGGCATCAGATATCCTGCTTATTTTATGTGGTTTCTCCAAGTAGAGCCTGGCTAAATTAATCTGCAGTGCAATGCTGTTGTTGACTGAACATTTGCTCGGTGTCTGTGAAATGAATGCCTCTCTTCCAGGCAGCAATGAGTTGGACCTAAAGAGCTGAGAAAAGGACCTAAAGAGCTGAGAAAAGGACCTCGGGGAATAATCAGGAGTGAAGATGGGAAAAAGGCTGTGCTCTCCCTGAGCCTGCTGTCACTCCCATAACCTCCTGGGCACAGCTGAAGTTTAGCAGTACTGCCCTTCAGACCACAAGCATTTTGCTTCAAATCAAGCTGGAAGGCAAATACAAGACATCAAGAAGCCTTGTAAACCTTACACCTTATTTTATACACGTGGGATATTTCCTGTATCTGCAACTACCTTTGCATGACAACCTTAGGGAGAGGAAATTTAATCCAAATCCGGGTTAAGGGGCATTAGAAATCCTTTGAAAGAGCTCGTCAGAAAAACATTCATTTCAAAATAGAGAACATTCATGCCTAATACTTTATTTCTCCTCCTGTGCCATCCCAAGATACTTATTTCTCCTTTTCTGGAAATGAATAAAAACTCCATCTTAAAATATTTCATGCCTGTGGAGTTTATAAAGCAGCAAGAAATTTCTAAACCTGAACTCCATAAAAATTGGCTTCCACTTAATCTCAGGCACCATTAACAGGCAGGTATTTTGGCTCTGCAAGGTGCTGGGAAGTGACCGTGTCCCTTGGCGAGCAGCAGCACTGGGGCTCACGGGGGATGCTCGCTGCAGAGGGGCAGGAAGGTCACACAGGCTTTAAATCCTGCAAAGCAACACAAATTTCTGCTACTATTCCAGCAGCAGGCAGAGAGGATTTTGACTTCTTTTCATTCAGCCTGTTCAGCTTGCAGTCTTTCACAATGTACCTAAAGACACGGACAGACCTGCAATAGCTTCTGTTATTTATTCACTCTGTAATAAGCAAACAGAGGTTTCCTGGTTGGTTTTATTTGCATTTTGGGGTTTTTTTTAGAATATGTTGATGCAGTTTTCAACAAAACTGTTTACAAAACATCCCTGTATTTTCTGCCATGGTGAAAACAAGCCAATATGAAAGAAACACAGCACATGGAACTCAGCAGTTCTAGCAGGGACTCCCTCCTGGCTGACAGAGTGACTGCAGCACACAGGATGGAAAGGCACCGTCTCGATTTAAACACCCAAGCTGCTCTGCCAGTGATGAACCCTTGGTTCTCGGTCACACAGCCACTTTGTGGAGTGAACTGTGCAGGTTAGAGGTCGAGCAGTACAGCAGGGTCCATGAGAGAGCATCTGAGTCCTGGTGACCTGACCCAGCAGGTCCTGACTGGCTGCAGAGCTGGCACCCCACCGTGCTCCGTGACACTGCGGGCAGTCACCTCCTTGCTCCTCACCTCTGGCAAATCAAGCTGCAAGCAGCCCCTGAATGGTCTCAATCAAAGCTCAAGAGCCTCCAAACCCAAGCTCATTTGCAGCCATGTCCAACAAGGTTGCCATGAGATGCCTTCGACAAGGTTTAAGGTTATGAAGTCCTTGACAGGCGCTGACCTTTCCCAGATGACCTGTCCCTGGTGAGAACCACTCACCCAGTGCTCAGCGAGCTGACACGTGCCTCAGCTCTGCCCGTGTGCCTGTGCTGCCTCTACACCCAGCACTGCTCTCTCTGCTGCTGGCAGGGTACAGCCTCTTGCTGCACCCAGGTACCTCCAGCCTTCTCCCACCCCATGACCTCCATCAGCACCTTCCTGGGGAGAGACCACTCCCTGCCACCAGCCAGTGCCTGCAGCCTTGCTGACACTGCTGCTGCTCTCCCCCCTGGGTCTGGTACAGTGTCTTCTGAACTCTCCCAGGCCCTGAGCTACTCCAGGAATTCTCAGAAGCAGCAAGAAGGAAGGAAGGTATGAGGGCTGCACATCGTACAGCTCAACGGTGCACTCACACCAACGACAATGTTCACTGATACCAGCCTAATACCAGCCCTGGCATGATGATTCTGAGAAGCAAAAGCCAATTCTAGGCTCCCCAGCACTGTAAAATTCTGGGCAGTCATCAGTGGATCAAGGCATTTACAGCTTCAGATTTATCCAGGTGGAGTATCTCCAGTCCAGTGATTCCTTTCATTGGCATGTTATTTAATTAATCTATAAATCAGCCTCTATTTTCTGAAGCAACACTGGACGTTGTTTGAACAGGGTTCAGTTCAATGTTCAGGCAAACAAACAGCACATGATTTTGAAAAGCTGGTGGTTCAGCATTTTGAGGATGGGACAGGTAGGAATTCAGGTGCTTTTCAAGGTCTCCCAATTTGCCAATAGACAAAATAGATGCATCTGAAATAGCAGAACCACGGAGCTGCTGAGGCTGGAAGGGACCTCTGGAGAACATCTAGTCTTTGGGGAAAGTTATGCTTTGTTTATGGAGAAAGTAAACCTATTTTCATTTGTTTTAGAAACAACTACAGAAAGCAAACCTCTTGGGAACAGAGGTATATATCCTTCATTTATCAGCACTCTATTCACCAACACACACACTCACCCACCTTCTGCAGCTCAAGAAATGCCAGAAAAATTATTCACAGCAAATGACACAGAACGAAAAATTCATGCAAATAAAAACTGGCTCATGATAAACAAGAGCAACATTTTACCTGTGACTTGTATAACTCTAATAAGCACTGTGAGTCCAACCCTTTAAATTATTGTGCAAATTATAAGCATCATCTTTTGTAATACAGTACAGCCTTACAGAATATGAAATTATGACTAGGGTACTGATATGCTAATAAGCTTCCTGCACTGCTGGCTGGCTTAGCTGCAGATAGACTAATGCTGGCAGCAGATGAATAATTGCTCTCCATGTACTAAACATAACAGAGCTGCACAGAACTTCAGCATTTGTCAGCTTTATTTGTTTAAATGAGAAAAACACTGACAGCAGTTATTGCTGCAATCTTTTTATTTATCAGAGAAGAAAACTCTAGTTACTCTTAGCAGGTCTGATCCCCTGGTGAAACCAAAAGGTGAAATATTTGTAGACTAATTCTGAGATGTATGCTGCAATGTTCAGGCAAAAAAAAAAAGGCAGAAGGAAATTAAGCAAACTATAATTATTATATTATCACAGTAGCATCTGTGAGCTGACTCTCACTTTACGAGGCAGAGCACATGGAGAGAGCAAAGCTCCTCTCTGGCCACGTTCATGGAATAAAGAGGAAAGGCAGACAGTGGCTTACTGTGCTCCCTGCAGCTCGGGAAATGAGCAGGAGAGATGAAATAACCTGGTCTCCAAGGGGCTGACTGACAGTGCAGAGGAGGGACCCTGTATCCAGGGGTGACACATCCAGCACGTGTCATCTCCCTGGCACCAATTTTCTGCACAAACAGCAGCAAGCCCATAACAGGAGAGACTTCACTGCAAACCCTTCAACCCAGGACTCCCCAGCACCCTCATGCAGCCAGCACATGGCACAGCCTGCAACTACAAAGCTTAGAAAATACAAAAATCCTTCCTCCCTGCTGCTCCTCCTCTTCTAATTAACAGACTCCTGTGTTACTGTGAGACCTATTTCTGGCCTAAAAGAAAGAGAAGTAATGCAGAATTAGATTCCATGTTCACCCCAATGACCAAGCAGACCCCTTGTCTACCCACAGGTGTCCCTCCTGTGCTTTCAGATGGGCACAGCAGAGGGCTGCAGGTCCCTTCAGGTGCCATTGCCAAAGATTCCTTGCACGTGCCTGGCTAAGACCTTGCTGGCAGGAATTTAGAGAGATGCTAAGATACATTTCTTGTGTTCATCATTAACCTTCCTCTTGTTTGGGTTCCTTGTTGCTATTTTTCACCACGCTTCTATCCATCTTCTCAGAATTTTAATCACATAACAAACAGTGGAAGGATGGAAAAGGACAGACCCATTTTAATGTAGTGCAGCCTCCCTCTAGTGAGCACACCACAACCACCTCCTTTAACCAGAGGCACCATTCTTGGCACAAATTCTAGTGCAGTTTTTCACAGATGGAGCCCACGCAGCACACAGAACACTGCAAGCCTGGTAACAGACATGTTTATGCCCCAGATTTGACTCCAGAAATGAGGGCACTGCCAGAATGCAGATTGACTCTAAAAAAACCCAACAGTCTGCTGTTTACTGAAGGCTAAGGAAGAGTTCCAAAATAATTTATGCATATGGATTCATCATGGTGAGGGAATATCCAAGCCTGTCCTTCAGCACTGCACTGCACACAGCCGTCCCTGACACTCTGCTGTCCTGAGGACCATTGTGGCAGTTTTGGGACACACAGACACTGCACTATCTGGACCACACTTAGGTTTAGAGAACAATAATTTTAGGGTCATCTCTGTCCCTTGGCTAAATTCAAACTGGCAACTTTTATATTCCAGATCCCTTTTGCTAAGGCCTAAGCCTCAAGCCTCAATGTTACTGGTGTTATTTAAAAAAAACCAGCTAATGTTACTTTATCTTTTTTTTATTCTGTTATTAATCCAAGGCTTAGAAAACATAATTGCAGTATTCACAAGACAAATTTTCATTAACCATATGGGAGGAAAACATTCAGGGATGACATTTCTTCTATATTGATTCAGCAATGCCTTCAGAAGTAAAGGTTATGCCTATTAAATTATTTTCGAAAAGGTAACTGTAAAAATTAAAATTCATCCAGATTAGCATTTACAAAAAGCCTTCAGTATGAAATTTCTTCAGAATGTGTCACTTAGAAAGAATGCCAAACACCACTTTAGGAGATGTAACTTCTTTTTAAATGGCATTTTTGCCTCTAAAAAGGAAATTCTTGTATTGATAGAGAGGATGTTCTGCATAGGCTGCGACTGCCAAGGCAGGGAGTTGCCTAGCAATCCTGCAAGTTAAAAATAGGAAGGAGGCAATAACAAAACAGAATTGTGAAATTACACGACAGTGCAACGTTAGATTGGTTTGCAATATTTATCAAGATGCTTCTAAATGAGAAAAGATAGAGGGTGTGCTGGGAGCATGATAAAATCTGTTGATCATTTTCAACTTTCTCCCTTCTCATTCTCTTCTTTTAGATACACACTTTCACACAATGGATTTCTCCAGCTCAGCTTTATTACCTACCAAATACCCTCCACTGCCTGGGGGTGAAGGCAAATTTCAACCATCACACCAGTGGCTTTTCAGGGTTCATCCTGACAGGAATTTCATAAAGTGATAGGTTTCCCTCTTTCTAGTTCCCACTGCAAACCGCAGCACTGAAATAGTGAGAACTACTGTTCCTTCCAGGACTGTTTTCTTTCAGGAAGCTCACTGTCTATGGCTAGTGTTTGGTCAGACCCTATGTCTCCACTTGGGAAAGCTGGTGGTGCAGATCCAGTTTGTTACTGGCCCTGTGGAACACCTCCTGCATCTCCAGTCTTTTCAGTTCCCGTTGTTCTCCCCGTGCACACTGTGCCTCCTCTGCCAGGACCTGTGTTCCCCTCCCCTGCCCATCACCCCTGTCCTTTCCCTGCCCTCTCCCATCACAGCTTTCCCTTTGGTGTTTTGGGAAGTGCCTCTCCCCGCTCTGGCTCTGTGGCACACACCCCATGGCAGGCACGAGCTGGCTCCAGACCCCCCAAGCCAGGGAGTCACAGCAGCCCAGGGATGCCCTGTGCTGACTCTGTGCTGACTCTGTGCCCCCCGAGCAGGGCCCACGGGCTGTCCCCAGGGCAGAGAGGACATCTGTGACTGGGAACTAGAGCCCGTCCCGACTCCTTCAGCTCCAGCCTGCAGCGACCTGCCCGGTCAGACTGCCCCGTGGGTGTCTGTGGGCAGATCCCAGTCCCTGCACTCAGACCCATCCCCTGCAGGACACAGCAGCCCCTACCTGTCGCCTCGTCCATGCTCTCCTCAGACACGTGCTCGTTCTGATGGACCCATTCCCCGTTGCACTTGAAGAAAATCTGCATGGCTGGCATAGCTTTGCAGCGTAAGACAATGGGGTTGCTTTTTATTATGTAGGCATCATCTGGCTCCTCCATAAAATGAGGCAGTGTTCCAGGAGCAGATGGGATAGACTCTGGAAGGGCTTCACTGTTATCATTTCCTGAAAGGGAAAGAAAAGAAAAGAAAATGCACATTTTTCTTGTTTTTACACCCTTTGTATCATCTCATTTAACTGGTCAGATACCATTTTTATTAAAAACTAATTTTATTAGAGGAGCAGCTGTAGAACTCAATGTCAGGACTGTGCTCTGCAAGGAATCTGACACACACAAAAAATAAAATAATTTAAGTGTAAGAACTCTAGAAAATTGACAGGACAGAAGCAGCAGCAAACTGCATCACTACTGCTGGTTTTGTAGATGGGGAACCGAGGACCAGAAAGAACAAATGAGTCAGCCTAAGGTCACACAGGAAGTCTGTGGAAGAAGTAGAAACTAAACCCTGTTCTCTTGAGTGACTGCCCAGTGCCTTAACTACCAAATCTTCCTTTCTTTCACTGAAATTAATTTCCTTTAGACAGTTGCTGCAGATGTAGCAGGATCAGAGCGTTCCCCACCCAGCAGTGTGCCCATCTGAGCGGCGTTACTGCAGCACTCCAGCACTGAACAAGCCAACTGTGCTTTCATACCCTCTTAGAGGAAATTTTCAATATGCTTTTACACAGTTCTCTTTTACTGCAGCCCCTTTAAGGTGATATAAAAGTGGAAAAGCCATTTCTGCAGGGTGAGAAACTGCAAGACAGCGAGCTTTCTCAGCTTCTGCTGCTGCCAGTGGGATCCAAGGGCATTTGCTCAGCAATGTGTAAGCCCAGGTGTCTTAATTTCCGAATTCTGTGCTTAGACATGAACACAGAGGCACTGGAATACAGGATTTTCCCTTACTACAACTCTTCTAATTGAGTCAAATCCTACTTGCTGCTGTCAAACTCGGGAAACTCCCATCGATTTTTAGCAACACTGGGATTTATTTCAGCAGTTTGTAAGTTTTGTGAGAAAATTCAGAGAACAGCAACAAAAATAACTCAGAAGGGATCAATTTATGACGGAAGATTAGGAAGTGCTGAAGACAGAGAGCGTAGCCAAATGACAACAGAGGAGGACACAGTCTGTATGAAGGGAACATGGTACCAGAGAAAGGAATAGCTGTGATTTACATCATATATCAATATGTGATTTAACCAAAACCAATGAAAATAAGTTAGATGAAAGATAAGTTATGATGATACTCATATTATCTTAAGTCTAAACCCCTTCACAGGTCTAATAGATTACAGAATAATGAGAACATATGCCTTCATTTCTATTAAAACCAGGCACCCCCCACTCTGCACGCTGTGTATCTGTGGGTGCAAACACCCACTGCGTGTGTGCTGGGAGATCACTGTGGCTTTCAAGTGTGTTCAGTGGTTTAAAGTACATTCACTGCATACTTTATAAAATATTACCATAATTTTTAGTGTTTTACTACTGAACATTTATTTCCATCTTGTCAATCTTCAGTAATGCTGCGTCCCTGCAGGATTTGTTAAATCCATGCTTTATAGGAAATAACAAAAATGTCATTATAAGATTTTGGAGAGGTTTGGAAGTCTCATGCTCCCATCAATGATTTGAGTGCTCTGGCAGGCAGCAAGGTGCTTGTGCTGAGGAAGAATAACAGGCAATTTTATAAGGATCGTTCAGCTAGAGAACTTAGAATGACCCATTGTTAGTCCACGAAATTTGCTTTTTAGGGCAAGACACAAAGGATGAAATCCCTGCCCCCCTGAAATCTGCCTGTCACTTTTCCAGTGTGATGGGCCATTTCCTCAACACCACAGCAGCCACCAGCCTCCCCAGTTCAAGCTGCATTGTCCAGCTCGCTGCTCATCTCGCTGCTCTATGAATCAGAGGTCACCCAACAGACTTGTAAAAGCTTCAGGGGAGGGTAAAATGACATGAACAAAGAGACTGAAGAAAGGAGCATTTGGCCCCAAACGTTATTTCATGTTCAAGCCCTATGCAATTTGGCTACTGCAATCGACAGCAAAGCAAGATTAGACAAATTATTCTGAGGCATTTCAGTTCTCTCTGAAACACCCCAGAAGTACTTGGCAGAAGCAGGAAGACATGTTGAGCCAGCCAAAGCTGCACCAGGAACGAGGCAGCTGACCAGCCAGAGCTCTGCCTCGTGGGGTACCCCACAGAACCCAGCCAGCCCAGAATAGAGAGTGAAGACACCATATTTACATTGCTCTGACTAAATACATAGATATATACACACACCATTAAATATGTAAATCACAGGAGCTGTCACAGACCTTGATCACATCAGTGCTAATGAGATAAACTGCAGGAAGATCATGCCCAGACTGATGTTCTGACATTCTAAAAACCAGACACTGCCTATTCTTACTCAGGGAGAACAAATCCCGGAGCCAGGTCCTATAAAATATTATGTAGGAGGCTATTACTGACATTACATAAACACACATGCACTTCAGGACAGGTAATATTTCAGCTGAGATAACTACAGCAGCTGCTGACCCAAGCAAAGCCTCTCCTAAAGCACACTTAATACTGGGAACTTTAACTTCAGGCATCTTTTATTTTGTGCATTGTCTTTTTTTTTGCACCTTAACTCATCTGAAATTCTGCTAGAACTTTGGAAGGGGTTTGATTTCAAATTATTAAGGTTTTTAATTTATAACTGTCAGTTCTCAAGATTCAGGCCATTCATAGTTACAGAAAAATTACCGTTTTCATGGAAGAGTGAATGACAGAAAAGCAAACTATCAAACACAACTCTTGTGTTTTTTCATTCCTGGAAAATTACCTTTCAGGAAGTGCTTTGTCTTACATGTTCTGCACACTCATCCAATAGGGACTTTAAATCTTTTTATGACAATAATAGAAACAAAAAAGTAAAGAACAAACGCTAGATTCTTCTATGCAATAAATATACTGCTGTTAGCTCTCAGATCACAGCAGAACATCTTGATAGCAGCAGACATGAATCCTTTGGTATTTCAAAACTGATTAGAATATAATTTAGATGTTAAAGTGAGATTTTAAAACCATGAAAAATTGCAAGTTCTTTTTTTTTTTCAAATTAAGAATTATTTTTAAAAGTAGCATTACTTTCTACATTTGAAAATTATAATAATAATAATAAAGTATCCCAAACAAGCCAAAAAACTTTCTGGAAATAAATAAAAATAATCCTTTTTTAACAATCATCCTGATAACAGAACCACATCCTCTAATACCACCCACCATGGAAGATCCCATTATTATCACCATTACTTTCAGATTATAAAACCCAGAATAAGTTGAAGCATTCTCTGTTCCTTTTATCTCTCCATCTCCTCCCCTCTACCCCTGCAAAAAAACAAAAGAGTCGTCTAAGGACTGGAAGCACAGACACGAGGATTTCTCAGAGGTTTCTAAACACAGCCCCTTCTAAATTGTGGTGGGACAAGAGAAACAAAGCTCTACACAAAATAAACTCACGATTATTTCCCTTCTTAGTCTCCTCCCACTCTAATTAAGCACCCCCACAATCAGAGGATCTCTGCTTTCTCCTTCTGCCTGTGTTGTGTTTTTTGTTGCTGTTTAGGGTTTTTTCCCCTAACTTATGTAACTGTCCTGAAGGGCATTTCATTTCTTGGCTGTGCCTGCAGGGAGAGCAGAGCCATTCTGACAGAAAAGCATTCTCTCCAGCCTCCCTATCTTCCTCAAAAGCTCCTCCCCCTTTGCTTCCTTTTTCCAAGTCCCCTAAGTTTACAAATCTTGGCATTAGCTTCGTAGGCTTTTTGGGTATTTCCTGCACTCCAAGCCTTACCCCCCTGTAGGCAATTCAGAGGAAAAAAATCTTTTCCCAGATGCAAACATCCCAACTGCCCCTTTTGCTGGAAGTCCAGTTAGTGTGACCAACGTTCCAGACACTGCTCTCTTCCCTTGCCAGGTACCCCATGCTGCTGATTCCTGC